CCCTGGCGATGTTCAAGGCCAGGTTGGACAGAGCCTTGGGTGACATGGTTTAGTGTGTGGTGTCCCTGCTCATGGCAGGGAGGTTGAAACTAGATGATCTTAAGGTCCTTTCTAACCCAAACCATTCTATGATTCTATGCATCCTAGGAACTTTTTTCCAATACTTGCTCTTGTTTAAAGTGTTTTAAAGAGTGAATGAGTATTAGTATAATAGTAAAAAAAAAAAAAAAATTAAGTATTTAATTTCAAAAGTGTATGTGATTAAAGGTCTACAGGCTGATTTATAGGCAAAAGTTGTTCTGGAATATGATGTAGCTGCTGTACATTTTGAAGCAGAAGAGCCCTAGGAACTTTTTTCCAATACTTGCTCTTGTTTAAAGTGTTTTAAAGAGTGAATGAGTATTAGTATAATAGTAAAAAAAAAAAAAAAATTAAGTATTTAATTTCAAAAGTGTATGTGATTAAAGGTCTACAGGCTGATTTATAGGCAAAAGTTGTTCTGGAATATGATGTAGCTGCTGTACATTTTGAAGCAGAAGAGCTGTTTCAGAACAATACTTTTTATTCCATAAAGCATTACCTGATTTTTTTGTTTAGCTCTACCTGTGTAAAGTCAATTCCTTTCACACCTTCAAAGAGTATCTGAAACAATTCCTGGCTAGTGATATTGCAGCCAAACATGTTTACCATTAAATAGCTTATAGATACAGGCTTTAAAAAGTATTTTGTATTTTAGCCTTCTCAGTTTCCAAGTATTCATTGCCATAGTTGGTAGTTGCTATTTTATTTGTGTATGATTCCAAAAATCACTTATGTGAAACACTTGTGTTTTTGTAACTTGTTTTCTTACCTTAGTAAAAAGGGGCTAAAGAACAATTAAAATACAGATGTTAATTTGGGAATTAAGTTGAAAAAAAATCATTAAATCCTATTAAGGAAAGACATTTCAGCATGAAACAGTGAGTATAATCTTGAAAAAAGAAAAAAAGTATACCAAAAGGAACTACTGAAAATTTCTTTCCTATAAAGATGCTAATAGCTGAGCACCATGCTATTCCAAAAATGTCATGCTAATGTAGATTGGAGTGACCTACTACCCCCGCAGCTGAGCAGACAAATGCAGTTGAAGAGAAATCTAGAAAGCTAAACAGCAAAAATCTCGGATTGTCTGTAAGCAGTCACAGGAGCTGTTTAGGTAAAACGTGCTGCTCTGGTATTTTAACAACAGAAGTTAAAACTTACCATAGCTGTTCCTTCTGCTTTCAAACCGTATTTGTAAGGGGGATGGTGGTAAAAAAAACCCTCTTGCTTTGTTTTTTAAGCTGGTTCCCACCCTCCAGCCATCCCATCTTCCTTTTACATTCTTCCAGGTGTTCATTTTCCTGTGTTTATCCTTTTGCTGAACACTTAAGTTTTGTAGAGTTGACCCACTCATCTCTGGTATAAGAACTAAATTCTGACCCAGAGAAAAGAGATTCTGCTAAAGGTTGTAGGCCTTTGTCTCTTCAGAACAATAATGACCCACCACAGAAGAAATGTTAGCAAGATGCTGAATGGATAGATTGATGGAAATGGTAATTAAAAATGGAGAAGTGATTTCTTAAATCCGTAACTTTATACCATGGCTCAACCTCTTCTCAAAGGGCTACACCATGTGGAGATTTGAGTCTATTACAGCTAATAAATGTTACCCTCCCAAGTAAAGATGTAGAGAATTGGGCTTTTATATCTGTAAATTTTTACTTCAGGTGGTAGTCATCTATAGGCAGTTGTACTCAAGTCACAAGGTCAGCTTTTCTTTTGATTCCAAGATTGATAAACTTGCCTAATTTTTACTGTCTTCTAGTAGTGCAATTCTCTGCCTTCCAAGTGGCTACAACAAAAGGGAGAAGATTTTCAAAAGGACTTCATGGGATGTTCGTTGTTGTTCATAA